ACTTAGAGTTTGGAGCAGATGTTAGCCCAGAGGGGTTACCATGACAACTCGTAAAAGTCTGTTGTGGGCACGTATCCAGGAACTACCGTTTGTGTCACACTTATGTCACTCTAGGTTTTGGAACAAGCGTTAAATTTGTTTTGAGGGTTTGCAGTCTGGTGAATTAGGCCTGCTGCTATTTTGTTTACTTGGGTAAGGAATAGCTACATGTTATCCCCAAAACAAACCATAAAGATTGATTTTAAGTATATATTCTATTTCTTTTTTTTAACCAATTATTATTATTATTATTATTATTATTATTTATAAAGTTGTCATTTTTGCTATTTTTAATACCAATTAGTGGCCCCTTTTTGAAATAATTGTTGATATGCCACATATCTAAAACAGAGTGGAAGCCTTTTCTGTCAGGTGTAAGATTTCAGTCAGTAACTTAACTTGGACTTACATGATAAACATTATTGGTCAGGTTAGGCTAACTTAATCCACAGGCAGGGTTTGAAGTGGGCAGGCTGTCATTGGTCCCACTGTGGTCGGACACTTGAAAAAGATTCTGGGCCGGGGTACCCTACTCATGTTGTCTGCCCAAACCATTGCGTCTCATGTTCTTTCCTTGATGTGGCACGTTTGTATGGCCATAATAAACAATAAGAGATCCTAAAGGCAGGATGGATGCACCATGTGTGTCTTGGATAATGCTTGTGCCCCCAAAGAACGATCCGGCTCCTTTGATTCAGCAACCAAAGTACTGCACGTTTCTTTATCTTTACATTGGATAGCTGAATGTGACGCATTTGTCTTGGCTTTGTTTTCACCCTTTAACCACGTCAATTGGTTTAATGTTGTTTTCACTAACTACATGATAAATAAAAAAAACATGTGTATTGTCTCAATCTAAAATGACAATTTTTTTGTAAAAGTTAGTTCGGTTCACTTTGTCTGAAATAGAAGTTTCATGGTTTGCCACACTGGTATTGTCACTAGAATAATATCACTGACAGGTTAATCCATCTTTCTGTTTGCATCTCCCTCTTTCCCACTTTCCAAGACCAATACAGTCCCAGCAGATGGCTGTTCAACATGAGACTGGTTCTCTTAAAGACAGTTTTTTTCTCGCCACTGTTACTTTGTTAAATGTTGTTTCAGGGTCAGGTCAGTACACTTGGTACTTCAACAGAAGGGTAGCAAAAAGTAGGATGGTATGGATCGGTTATTTTGGTACTGTTTCCAAATTTTGACAGTGGAAACACCAATAATTGCATAAATCTACCAAAATGAACAGGACCGCTTTTTGGACTCATTTTATCTCTGCTGATGTGGTACATGGCAGGCAGAAAAAGTTTGTTTATCACAGCATTGTTCTAAGAACAGCTGATGCTGAGTGCTATACTGTATTATGATGACCACAATCAATCAATCAAGCTTTTGAAATGCAAGCAAGCGAAGGGTTTACCTTACCAAACAGTATCAAACTGGATGGCTTGGTGGAAACAGGGCTTTGGTGACTAGTTGATGGAAATAGTGGAGATTCTAAAGAGCTTTATGTTTTTACAAATAGGTGGAAACTGTATGTATGGATCCGTATTACTTGGTGTTCAGAACCCTGAGTCAATAAAGTTGAAAATGTTGCTAATGTTGTTAGTTTTAGTCTTAGATTTTATTCAAAGCTGTTGCTCAAGGTTGTGCTTTGGCCCAAGTCGCAACTAAATCACTTCAAAATGTTTTCAAGCCACAGTTATCACAATGTAAATCTTTTAAAATGTTGTTGAATAAGAGATGATTTAGCATTCAAAGCAAGAAGACAAAAATCCTTGTTTATCCCACTTGGTCTTGTCAGGTAAACAGTTTATTGATGTTAGAGTTTAAGCTTAATGTCAGAGAGTCAGAGTCACAGAGTTTCAGTTAAGAGGCCATTTCTACAACCTAATTATAATCTGCAATCAAATACAATGTTTAATGTCATTAATGTAAAAAGGTCATTAAATGATAGCAGGTAAGCAAGGGTTTTTGAATTCTCTTGCTCTGCACATAATTTTGGTTTCAATTTTGAACATTGAGTTCTGGAAACTTCCAGCCCCATGTGTCTGAATGTTTTTGGGATTGGAATGTCACATGGAGGTGTTTTGAAGCCAGGGAAGCCTGATTCACCTCAGACAGACATTAGCGACAGTTCTTCGTGACTCACTTACAACAAGCTTTCCATATACAGCCAGAGGGAGGGGATGCATGTGTGAGTGGATGGGCTTCCCTGAAGTATTTCCATCATGTGCCAAGCCTGGTCGTCTGGCACATTTACTGTAAAAGAAGGGAGCCTCTGTGTTACGAAACAAAACCTAGACTGGTGAAATCACCCACCGTATAATTAGCTTTTCTAAAACGTGACCTCTTACCATCTTTACCACACTGGATGCCTTAAACAGATTTCTGCCGGGAACAAAAGGCGGTGTAGACACTTGCCGCTGGGATGAAACATAAAAATGAAGTTTTAAACGAAAATGTCCACATCTGAGAACTCTCTGGCACTAATGACCATCAAGGCTTTTTTAAGGACGGAAACTTTTTTTGTTAAACATTCTCGTAAATAATATCAATCACTGAAGGCTCCTACAATTAAATAGTCCCCCTCATGTCTGAAGGAAAGTCTTAGTGAAGTCATAGTTTGCACCACGGATACAGAAAGTTTTCTAACTTACTGTAAATTACAAAAGAACAATAAACAAACCAAAAGAGAATAATTAGTGATATATATTACAGACTCCATATACAAGTCACAGAAAGATTAACAGAGAATAGTACAACTACTTTTCAACTTTTGGAAACATAAAAACAGAGCATGTGGAATAAATTCAAGGCCAAACAACAATACTTAAACACCCTCACATATAACAAATCATGCTGGAACTTCATATTTCTGAATTCTTTGCCACTGTCTGAGTTTGAGCTCACTCTTTAACAGACAGAACACACACACTGACAATCTGGCTCAAGTGGTGTTAAAATAACTTCATGGCCGAAGTAAACATTCTTGAACCACTGCAATCAGATGTCAATGTTCTCATTCCCTGATATTGTAATATCATTTGTGTTTTTGTGGTCTCTGAGTTCATCAGGAAACAACAGTGAGCACACGTCTCCCGTCTGATGCTCCGGTTTCATCAGGGGGCAGAGGATGTGGTCGTCTCCCCCCAATATGTTCAGTGTCTGCCGTCATTGCCACACTGATGGGAAAGAGTGGAAGGAACATGTCCAGACAGAGTGGGTGGTTAAAGACCCTTCTACCCAAAACACTCCAGCAGACTTAACAGACGTGCAAACTGTGATTCTGCCTTTCTCTTCGCACACACTCGCAAGAACCTCAGGCAGTTTATCATTCCTCATGTGACGCACACATGTAACTGCTGTTGAACTTCTGACTCCTCCTAGGCTTGAAAGCTGAAATACTGAAAAGTCGTGTGTCCTTTCTATGTTCAAATTAAACGTATATTTTAGGTGATAATGGCACTTGAGTGTTGACCATACCATAGTCCTGTAACTTTAAACTTTTCAGGTTTCACTGTTTCATTTGATACTACTGTACTAGAGTAAGGAGTAAGATATATAGAAAAAGTGTTGCCATCTGAGCTTGTATTTATTCCAACTCATTAACTACTTCATTAGAAAACTGATTTGTACCAGTTGTGATATTTAAATAGTTCCATTGTCCAGTTTTCTTCAAGTCAGCGTTATCTTTGCTTGACAAAATGCTTCATACAGTTACATCACTTTAACATGTATTACAAAGTGAACCTTCCCCTCCCTCCTTCCTCTGTCCACTGGCACGCGTGAAGTGATAATGGAGACAATTAGAGAACACTTTATCTTGGCAGCATGTCGGCCGAGCCTGTGCTGTCAAAACCTGTCAGCAGAAGCGAGAGCTCACACCCTCGAGCTCTGCGTTAAACAAGCTGATAGCAACATTAGGATGTGTAGTCCTGTCAGCTGACGGGAGGGTTGGCATGAAGTTATAACAGCTGTTTAGGCGTTGTCTTCCTACTCACAGGTCTCAACTTCACGCCCCTGCTGACTTTTTGCCTCTGGTTGAAACATGTTGATTCATGTTAATAATTAAGACTATTGCTTACCATCAATGGTTCTTTTCATAAAACATTTTTATGTGATTTATCATCGCGAGGCAGCTTCCCTCTGATTTGTGTTTGCCAAGGGTCTCTTTAAATAACCTTGGGTAACCTCCAAGGAGCGTTTTGGAAAATGCTGTTGAAACTGAAAAAGTCCCTCTTAGATTACGTCTCATTTACAGTCATATCAGTGGATTTAACAAGGGGCGTGTATAACCCACAGGGACGTTTGAAGTAATCTGTTGATGCTTCACTCACTTCACTTCTACAAACTATGAGAAATAGCAGGTTTTTACTGTACAAACCCATCCCAATGAGCTGTGGTCTTCTACACAGCTTCCCAGAACCAAGTGTGTAACAAACCAACATTCTTCTGTCTACAGCTCGCGGCTCCTCAAACTGGGCAGCTTTAAGTTCAGCAGGACGGCATGAAAAGCCACTTCAGGGTTCTGCACACTCAATGTACACAATTCAAACTGGAAATAGTTTTCCACTTTTGGATTTCCTCTCAATGCGGTGTTTACCACACGTATGTCTTTCTGTATATTTAGAAGACAAAGTAGGACCTGAATGTCTCCACTCACTGTGACATCCTTTTCCAAACACCAGCAATTCCTGGGCTTCCATGTTGATACTGCAGAGTCAAAGCTTCATGTTTAAGCAGCTTTAAAGAACATTTGAATCCTTATTTGTTGGCACCATTTATTTAAACAACAACCCTGTCGATTGTTCAGCTTTTCCTACGTCATCACTCACTGTAACGCATATGCTGAAGTGCTGTTTAAATGCAGAGAAAGTAAACATGATCTCCATCACGCTCACCTAACTATGGAATGAATGTGATTATTATATCAGTTTCATATTCCGATGTTTTTCTGTCTGCAGGTTACAACCCCTACCTACCCTGTTGTGGTCAAAATGGGGCACGCCTACGCTGGAATGGGAAAGGTGAGTTCCTTAAAACATGCAGACTACAACACACACATACATTTTAACTTTTATTTTTGATTGACACAAAAGTTTAAATCCCCTGAATTAAAAAAAAAAACTTTAACTTTAAGGTGCAACCGTTATGAAATGGCAGCAAAGCTTGGACTTATTCCATGATTCTGATTCAATTTTCTTATTTAGAACTAAAGCAATATGATCAGGAAAATAACTTTAAATCATTTAGATTACTTAACATGTCACGTGTCAGAAATCCTAACTCACCATTTAAAGAGTCTACATCACACTGACTTTTTCAGACTCGGCTCAGATAACGGGCTCACACTCTGATTTGTCTAGCTTCCAGTCATGCATACAGTCAAGTGTGATGCTATCACGACAGCTTTGACTGAACTTGAGGTTCAAACATGAGACAAGAGATCAAAAAGCTAAACTTGTCTGATCTAGTTTGTACAAATCTGTGATGTCTGAGCCTGATCTTTAGAATTCCTCGTGGTGTCCAGATCACAGTTACTAATCAGGGTGTAAATTTGTATTCCTGGTTTACTCTCACTGAGTCTGATTGTCTGATAGAGCACACAGACAGACAAACAACTGATTCAGTGTGGGTACAGCAAAGTTTTCTTACACAACAGTCTTGCTGAGTCACAATTTCAGGCAAACTAACACGATACCTACATGTGAATAACTTAAGTCTGCTCTGTGTGTGAACAGTGTGGAGTATTTGTTTCCATATAGATTCATTATTTTCTTTTAAAGCCATGATGCTCAACACTAAATTCACACAATTTGTCTCCCACACGTCTCTCTTTCTGCCTCCAGTTATATTGGATTCACAAGCGGAGACCTAGCCTATATGTCTTTGGCCCTCGTCTGTCTGGATGGGCTTGGTTTCCTGTTCGGGAGCCAGACATGCTATAGAATTTCCCATAAGCCTTTAAGGGAACTTGGCAGGCCCCTGTAGAGCAGGACCTCGTTTAACCCCTCAGACCTCACAGAGCTATGAGAGCGACAAGAACATGTGGGATCATGGCTGTTTTGTTTGCTCTTGCCAGAAACTGGTTTAGCTTGCAAATACCATGCATTCAAACACTGCCTATATTTTTTCATTTCCTCAATCTTTATTTACACTGCATTAACACAACTCGTTAAATTTAAGGGAAGAACGTGCAACATTTGACACATAAAAAGCAGAAATCAAGTATATCCTCTGTAAATGTCTCTCTGAGTCGACAATGAGTGAGAAGCTCGAGTCCCGCCAGCTGTACTGTTGTCGGAACGTGTTTACATCCTGTTTACATGGACGGGACATAGCTTACTTGCTGCTTATTTGGATTTCAAGTAAGAATTTTTAGATCACAGTCATTCTGGGTCAATTTAGGTTTAGTTTCATGCTTGTGCTCATGAACCTTTTAAAATAAAAATTTAAATCAGAAGTGGTAAAATTCCTCCATGTTGCTTTTCCAACTCACAACTGGAACCCAGTTAACCTGGGTGTGGCCTCATTCCCAGCTCTGTGATACAAGTTCTGAGGTAAATGGAGCGCACCATAAGATCAAACCCCGAAGTAATGTACAGAGTGATGAGGTCATTGAAAGGGCTAATTTATGCTAACTGTACCAACCAGCAGCTTGAAAGGCTATGTGTAATACATGGCTCTGCCTTATTGGCCTGTCATTTTACTGACATAACAGTAGCAGTGTTTTGTTTACACAGTTACACACTTGCTAGCAATTATGTCATTTAGCCTGGACTCGACCAGTATGACACGACTGTTTCCACCAGGCGCTGCTCTTCATCTCTCTGCCAGTGTTTCACCTTCTCTGGCTTACCTTTCTACTTTCTCCTTGCATCATTGCAGTTTGTTTAGTTTCTCAGCGGACTTGCGTAATTCTCTGGAGCTTTGCGTGCTTACAGCACAGAGCTGGAGCTGCCACTAGCTATCAGTTTGTTCCTTTGGAGCTATGATGTGAGCTGTGACTCACTTCCCTCCATTCAGTTGGTTTTTAGTCGTTTCAACTTCTGCCCGTTCACTTTGAGCAGGCCAGGTTCAGAGCTCAGCCTCAGTGCCTGGTCCCTCAAAGTCTGAAAGAAGTCCCCTGAATGCACACGTTTATAATGAACACACACACTCAAACCTTTATGTAAACTATATTAAAATCTAAATGAACCCCTTCAATTCTGCCCCTAAATTAATTAATTACATTTTTCAGAGTTTAGACCATGGACAGTTCAAAAAGGTGGACGACACAACGGCTCTATAAGTGAAGCCAATTTATTTAGAGCTCACCCTTACTGACTGGCTGTAGAACAAAAAGCCTTCTCCATGTTGACAGATGGGACATGGGATACAAATCCAAATACACATCCAAAGAATTCACAAACAAAGTTTTTGTCTTCATAGTTCATTCTTATCATACTGATTCTTGCTCAAGTGGATGGTAGATTATGATTGGCAGATCATAACGAGCACTAACACAGGAGTCACTGAACTTTCAATAACCGTGAGTGTCTGATCCAAACGGACACAAAAATCTGTTCTGCTGTAGACTATGCCGATCTGAGGGATCTTTGCCGTTTAACTGGTAAGTTAAATGTGTGTTTTGGTTAGCGGCGGGGGCAGGACATCAATTCAGCGGCCAAGTACACTGCAAAGCTCCGGCTCTAAATGAAGTCGCCAGCCCAATAAATCAGCGCCCATTGCAAGGGATACTTTAGCTTCAACCTTTGATACAATGAGAGGAGATGGAGACTGTTGTAAAGGTTCAAAGTTATGTCAGGGGCTGGTCTCTGATGACAGTCTACCAGATAGTGTTCTTTATTACTTATATACTTGTCTTTAATTCTAACAGACGTAATTCTAAAATTCAAGCTCTCTACATCTGACAGATACCAAAACAGCTTGAACATATTTGTCTGCCTCATGAGCTCATTTAAGAAGCTAATGGATTTATTTGCAGTAAAACTGTTTTTAATGTGGGCTCCAACAAGCGTTTCCATTTTATTACCAATCAAACTAACAACTCTGTTTACGGGACCACATGAACCATCAAAGTTTGCATGCCTTTCTTTAAAACACTTTTTATTGTTTTGGTGCAATTCTCACTCTTGAATTTGTTCTCGTGGATTTTTGTGAGTGTTGCGTCATTTTTAAAAGCTCTTTGGGATTTCTTTGATGCACCCACACATTTTTTTTTTGGGGGGGGGGGTTTAGGATTTGTTTGTGTGTGAAAGTTCATTTTACTTTAGGCCTTTAGGATTGCATTTTCAAAAAGAACCTTACAAACTGTCTTATTTCTTTATTTGCTTTACACTCTTTATCCCATATTAATCAGTTTATCAGCATAAAAGTAAACCTTTATGTCCAACCAACAGTGAGGTACTACCCCAAATCTTTTTGACATTTTGCAATTGAAAATTGTAATCTACTCACACAATAACCAAGCTCATGTATGAATCATCGAAATTACGTACAATTTTGATGATGTTTAGTTTGAGTAGGCGTTTAGGCTCCAACCTAATTACTCCTTACAGTTTGAGGGATGATATCTTAAACCCCCCAGTCGGAGCCTACAGGTGGATGCTTGGGGTGGTGGTGGGTCTGAGCAATAGTGCAGTACTGGTGCAGGTCAGAGGTGGCAACGAAAGAGCAGAGGGTGAGACTGGGAATTTTGTAGCTTAAATAGACTGCTGATTGGAAGGAGGTGTTGTCAGGTGATTGGTGAGAGTGAGGCATATCAAGTATGAAATCAGTGCAGCTCCAGTTGACTGCCTGAACTACCTTGTATGTGTCAGCTCTTGAAATCCAATTCATTTAACCAAACTAATACTTCTAGAAGAGTCACAGAGAGTGACATTTTGAAACCCCAAAGTACAAAACATGGCTTCCGGCTCTGTCTATTTGGTTTGATGGCACCTCACTTCCTCCACCCTACTTCCGTGATGAGGAGCAGTGAGAGAAGATGGTGATGAGTGAGTGAACCTCTGGACTGAATCATTTTGTGTCTGAGATACTGAGCACTGACAGTTTGCCATACATTTAAAATACTGATAAATGACTTTGTCTGCAAGATCCTACATTTCCCATGACCTGCTGTAATACACCGCATGAATGTGCATCAATGTAGTGAATACGACAAAGAAACCACGTATGGGAAAAATTATCCATACATCAGAATAGAGCTGTTAAATGACAGGTGATCCCTGGGAAATGGAAAAGGCAGCCAATGAGAAGCTGGGTAGAGGTGTATGAGGGTCTTACAGACCTACTAAAGTGCAATGAGTTCTTTCCTTCCTATGTTTCAATGTCACACCTCATCATTCCCTAATTATTGAAAAGTTATAGTGGAAAATACCTTTGGGTACTTTGTGACAGCCATGTTTTGTGTCCCATTGCGTCATTTCCCCCTCAGTCTGTGTCTACAGTCTAATCACCTGATGGCAGTGAGGTGACGTAGTTCAAAGCCACCCCGGGCAATGTTTCCATTCAGCGACCCTTCATTATCCTGTAGTGTAGAAGTGTGAAGTTCTTGTGGGATTGAAAAAAAAAAAAAAAATTGGCCACCACCAGCTTTGACTGCGTGCTTTGTAATTAGCTTCTCGCTAATGAATGATGTCTCTCCCACAGATCAAAGTTGAAAACCAACAGGACTTCCAGGACATCACCAGCGTGGTGGCCCTGGCTGGGACCTACGCCACCACCGAGCCCTTTGTCCAGTCCAAGTACGACATCCGCATCCAGAAGATCGGCAACAACTACAAGGCATACATGTAAGATGTTTAGCACCAACAGATCATACATTTGACATCAGGTTCCTTAACCTCAACCAATTTGATGGTTGAAACAGTCAAACTGTCTATAAGATACTATTTTGGGACAGTTTTTTTTCTTCAGTTTTGACCAGTAGATGTCACCCTTGAGCACCAGCATGAAGCCAAAACAAACTGCTGTTTGGCCACACCTCCGCCATGCTGAAGCCTCCACTCATCACCAGCAACTCCCCTCCCCTTGTGTTCGCGCAAAGGAGTTATCAAATGGAACGCACCAAAATTAAGTACCATTTAGCGCAAGCAGCGGAAGAAATTGGCTGGAGCTGCACTTGCCTGTGGCCTGCATTGTTGTGTTAGCAGGCTAACGTTAGCCCTCTTTAGTTAGCTCGTAGCTTTTCTCTAGTCCTTGACTGAAACAGCTTTTAAACTGAAGGGGAGGAGCCGGCCGTCCCGTCCATGTAGACATTATTTAAACACGGCTCAGACAACAACACAGCCAGCGAGACTCAAGCTTCTCACTCATTGTAGACAGTCATGACGCAGAGAGACGATTACAGAGGATATACTCGATTTCTGCTTTATTTATGTGTAAAATGTCACACATTCTTCCTTTAAAGCAACTCTAGAATTATCTGGATATAACAAGATTGGTACTTTCCATATTTCTGAGATGTCTGCAACCTTGAAGAGTCATGGTCTTTATTTCCTCCCTCAGACATTCACACCCATTTAGAAGAAAGAGACCTTGTCATAAATTCATCCAAGCATAAAACAACAAAGAACATGAGTCAACACCCTTTTGCCTTTCAAGTCTTTGTATATTAACAACTACTTGACCAAAAGCCTAAATCAGACCAGACCAGTTCAGTCTTATCTCATCTTGTTTTTCCCCGTGGACACACCATGAGAGCGTGTCTTTAAACGGCTCTGACACAAACGTTATGTAGGTGTGGAAAGTAATAATAATCTCTGATCAACTGATGATTGCTAGTCCTGTGAGATTTTCCATTCAGGGTTAGTAATAGCTGTGAGTGTTTAACTCTAAGTGGCGCCAATGAAATGGTTGATGTTTTTCTTTGATTTGCAGGAGAACGTCCATCTCCGGAAACTGGAAGGCAAACACAGGCTCTGCCATGTTGGAACAGATCGCCATGACAGACAGGTGAGCTGACTCAGAGAAGGGCCATTTTTTTAAACAGTAAATAGTTTTAGTTTTTAGTTACTTTAAGACAAGTAAGGTCCAACTGCAATTACAAAATCTCCAGAAATGTTTGCGTTTAAAGTCATTTGTTATGACTTTGTCAGTTAGAAGTTTGTTAGAAGTCAGTTATTTGTGTCACTGTGTTCCAGATATCGGATGTGGGTGGACTCCTGCTCTGAGATGTTTGGTGGCTTGGATATCTGTGCAGTGAAGGCCGTGCACGGAAAAGACGGCAACGACTATATCATCGAGGTCAGTTTGTCTTTAGAATAACCCCCAACTTGTTTCTGAGATTGCAAAGTAGAAAAAACAAAAACAGTGCTTCAGGGATAAAGGGTTATAAGTTATAACTACCAGGACAAAATGCAAAATGTCAGAAATTTGGTATTAGGGCTTTCGTTTAGCCTAGCAGGTATATATATCACCTCATGTACGCAGGTTAAAGTCCTCAGTGCTGCAGCAGTGGGTTTGGATGAAGTTTCTGCATGAAATCCACCACTCTCTCCGCTGCACATTTCCTGTCTAACTTCGGCTACCCTATCCAGTAAAGGCACAAATGGCCCAAAAATTGTTGATTGATAGACTGAAAATATGCCTAATTCAAATCATTTTCTACATTTTTAACAATCTATAAGCGTTAGACCCCCCATCAATCATCAGTGCATAATTTATTTTTAAAATCTTACCATTCTTTCCATCCAGTATATCTTTGCCTTGGATTCATTCTCCATCTCTGCTGATAATATTTTTGTATCAGACTTGGTGGTCCCTGATGTCCAGAGCCTTGAGAGAATGATTAGCCTGTAGACCAAACACAGGCAGGAGAATGAAAACAACATCAGCATTCAGGCGTTGACTCACTGTGTCTGTCAACACAGCCTGTTTATTTCAAGTCAGCAGGTAGAGTTTCTGTGTTCAAAGTAAAGTTTGACTTTTTATGCAGTTTGTAGTTTGTAGACGGACAAAAAAGGGTGTTACATAACCTGACACAAGCAATTTGGACGAGGTTTTCCTCAGATATTTGATCAATTTTGGGGGTTCTATTCAGCGATGCAATATTCATGTTGGCAACAGTTTAGGTTGGGTTTTAAATTCAAGCAGGAGCACCAATGCTGGAAGACGTGCACAATGAAACAATGTGTGAAATGAACTTGTTTCTACCTGTTTGTAAACACAGAAGAAAATCAAATAGTAGTTGAGGATTTTTGGAAGGCCACTGAGGTGGCCAATCAGATTTCAAGGGCGGCCCTGGCCACCACCCCCCCCACCACCTCTGACTCTGCCCCTGGACATCCACTCAAAACGTTTCAAAAATCCACTTTTAAATGCTCAAGTAGATTATATACTGTTGTATGAGGGTTTTTGCAAAACAGAATAATTTGAAACTTGAGATGCTGTGGACAAAGCAGGTTGAGAGAACTTAGAGCCAAAGCTTTCCAAAGTCCTCACACAGCAGTGACATCATACACCCTATAAGAAGATGACAGACGTGATCACTCTATTTTCAGAGCAATGAAAAAATAAATAGTTGTGTCATTGCTTATCAGTCATGAGACTCCTATGACTTCAAATCTAAGGAAACAGGACCGTCAGGAACCTCTTATGTGCATACATAGATGGGTAGTCTCAGAACAAACTGGTGACACAATCGAGTAACGATGTTCTCTGACAAGCAACTCTTCCTCCTCCTCGTCTGCTCTCTCTCTTCTCTCTCTCTCTCTCTCTCTCTCGCCAACCCTTCAGCATGATAGAATTTAATTAACCACGACAAGGAAGAGCTGTGGGTGCATCACAGTGGGAATCTGTTTTTTGTTCCAGACAAGGACATCAGACATGACACCTCTCTGTAATGAAAAGTAATGAGCTGCTCAGAGGCACTTAGAGTAATTAACACTTTACTGCAGCTGGCGTTAAACTTCAGCTTTGTCTCAATTCACTGAGGATGTGCACAAATAATAGCGTGACAGGATATCCTACAACAATACAACACATTGTAGAATAGCTTAATGGCAAATGTCATGAAAGTAATAAACAACAAGACAATATGATTTCTCTGACGTGATGATGTCAAGACCTGCTTATGGTCTGACTGGATATTAGCTTCGAAGTCTGTCAAAATAGCAAACATAGGCTAGCAATCAACTTGAGTCAACAACCAGCAGGCTGAGTCTAAAAACCCACTGAAGAAGCTTCGGGCTTTGCAGAACGTACCAGGTCCAGTACCTGACATGCCAAAGAAAGCAAATCACTAAATACTCTATAACTTGGCTTAACATTGGCTATCTTGGTTTTGTTATTTGCATGTGGAGCTAACCAATGTTACATTCTGCCAGATGGGTACTGTGCATGTTCAACTTTTAACAAAGATGAAGAAGACGTGAGATGTCTCCCTAATTAGCTAATTATTTTAATGACTAGCTATCAATCAAGACGTTTCTTTGAATCAATGGGTTATTGATTAATACGCCAATGAACCAAGTTTAGTGTCTTGGGTATAGTCTGACCAGACATATATTATCCCATGCATGAATTTGATAGTATGACAAAACCTTTGGTCATTGTCTGGGCAATAGTTTAATGTATGCAAATAATAACTGGAAGCTGGAAGCCTTGGAGGCTAATATCCAGCTATAAAAAAAGCAGAAGTAATATCCATAAAACATAAAAATCATGACTCAGTGACATTATTTACCTGTTCTATTTAAACAGTGCAGATATAGACAGAGGGATGAATGGAGATACATAAGAGTTTAAGAATACAGTGGATTTAGTAAGATCAACTTAGATAAACTATCCCTGGCTCCTGTTGGCTGCTATGTCTCAAACCTAGTTGTTTTCCCAGGAAAACATCATCTTCTTCCAATCCCTGCACCACGACTGCTCTATAATCATGATTTGAGCACATTTCACACGTTTTGCACTGTAATCTTGCACATGCAGCGGAGTAAATTGTCTAAACAAAGCACAGCACAATGACATTTCAGACCAACACCACTGGAACCAGTGGCAGCTCCAGTCTCCTGCTCGATGACTTTCTATCCAATAAATCAGCAGGGTGGATCCCGGCTCTGCCTGCCACCACAAAACGTTTGAAGTGGGTTCCTGGTGGTCGCTTGCCAGGCCTCTGCTCAAGTCCCCTGTGGTAATGACTCAACTGGCCAAAACACCGTACCACACCCCATCTCACCGCCAAATCCTCGCCAGGACGCTGGGTACACACAGGCATGGAAGAACAGTATGAACCCAAATGTTTGGATCTGAAAGTTCTGAAAAACAAAGAAAAACGTGTGAGAAACACTGGAACATGAAAACACAGCTTGGATATAAAATGTTTTTTCAATACTTTGGATTCTCTGGATTCATAACATACAACAATACATGAAAAAATCTGGACCAATTTAGGGTTATACGTTCGGGTTAATAGCTTGTACGCATGTCCACATGAAACATAATGTTTAGAGAGGATTTATGATCAGGAAGAGACAATATTGAGGCTTGACAAGGACTGCTCTTTAAGAAATCTGTCACTTTTTATTGGATGTGACTTTTATGTACTCTGCAGAGTGTATATAAAAAAAATCATATAATGTCTCAAACAAAAGTAGGACTTTCATAGAGTTTATGAAACAGTTGATAGTAAAACATACTGTATATTAAGGAATTATTTTAGACCTTCAGTTGTTTATGTATTACATCATTTAGTTAACATGATCATCATGATCATCTATAAAACAAAAACACCTAATTTAAGATAACATTTACTTAATTATCGCTTTGCTTAAGTTAGCAAGCGTAATAACTGAGCTAAAGAGATGGTAGATTTAGCTGTAGCTAGCTAGCGTAATAAGCTAGAGTTAGCTTCATAACTCTTGTTCCAACTTTTTGAAAGGGTATAGTTGTTGGGCTCATTGGCTTCTAAAAAATGGATTGAACAGCTGAAGACAGTGAGAAGAAAGTTGGGGATAACATGCACCAATAGCATCAGGTCCGGGAGATGAACATGCTGATCTTTGCTTTGGGCGCCTGCTCTACCAACTAAGCTAAACTAGCGCCCTGTTACAGCTTTTAATGTTTCCAGGTGTCTTATTTTAAAATCTTAAAAAATTGGGTTTTAGACAGGCACTTATACCTTAACCCTCTGACATAAGATTTTCCTTGTTGATAAGTTGTTGTTATATTAAGCCATTTATCAACTAGAGTTATGTGATGATCCAGCTGTATGTTTGAGGCATTAAATGGTAAATTCGTGAATGGACTTCAGCTTGTCCTGCATTTTCTACTCTTCTGATTGCTCAAAGCTCTTATACGCCGCAGGTCACACCTATGGCCATCAGTATTTAGGGTCCAGTGCCTTGTCCAAATGCACTTCTATATGTGACTGCAGGACCTGGGGATTGAAACACATAACCTTTCGTTGAGAGACGACTGACTCCACATCTGCATTAGAGAATGGTTTGAGTATAAAAAGCATAAAAAGTATTGCCTGTTGAAAACAACACTAAAAACAAAAGCAGTTATGATAGCTTAGTGTACTCGAGACCGCTGTCTTCTTTAGGCTGAATCAATGGACTTTAGGATAGTAGCTAGAAACTAGCTAACTAAGTAGTATATTTATACAATATCCATTAGGCCACCTTCCTCTGGGGCTATGACTCTACAGATAGGTCGATCAGACAGTTAGATAAAAGACAAGATGCATCTTCTGGATGGGTAACTAAACAATGAAAAAAATGTTCTACTCTTCCTCCGCCTTAGGACAGAGGCTTCAGATTGTCATGAAAATTTCTATAACCATGTTTATATTTTTTGAAGAGCAGTTTTGTTGGTGTGGGCAGTGTAACCTCACCAAGAAAAGGTCCCTGGCTCTGAAAAGACTTTGTGTGCATCAGTTGTGTCTTATGAAGCATCAAAGGGGAAACAACTTTGATGAAAACACCACAAAACTCTGAGTGTTTCCCTTCCAAAACGTGCTTTGGTAGTATCACTTCTGTGGGATAAAAGTATATACAATTGAAGTTAAGTGATGCCTCTAATAAAAACAGCTTCAAACAGAGTAGAGAGATGACAGGTTTAGTGAAAGGAACTTCTGCAGTTGTTTTTTTTTTAAATGGAATCTCTGTGTCTGCAGCACATGTTACTGCACACCGTGTGCATGAGGATCAGCACATGCAGACTTACCCCGTGCTGTGTTTACAGCTTGTGGCCGGGGTGCGGTGCAGCAGTCTCATCCACCACACCGGGCATCTGCATCCAAACCAGCAGTCCAAGCAGCCACACTTCCATGCTCGTGTTTGTTTTGGTCCTCAGGGAGGAGAACGTCAGGTCCCACAGCTCCTTGTTGCTCTGCGGGTCTGCAGTGCACGTGTGTGTGCATGTGAGCTCAAGTGGTGGGAAAATGTTTTTTTTTTTCTTTCTTTGAGGTTAATTAATTGAGTATTGCAATGGATGTGGCCTGTGCCTTTCCGAGTCATTCACTGGGCAACATAATATATACAAGTGGAGTCACATTGTACATGCTGCTCAATGGAAATCCTAATCTTGGGTTCTTTTCGAGCTCAGAGAAAGGCTCCATGGCTGCACATGGACACTTATATATCAGTGTATTTCTTGAGTTTGGTTCATGGGATTTACATCAGAGAGGGCTGAGGGGCTAATGCCCAACATTAGAGAGAAATTCCATCCTGTCCTGCCCTGTTTTATTTTTCAATTTGCATCCTTTTTGCAGGATCTCAAACTGCTGAACTTCCCATACAGCAGTTGTTGCAGCGCTATAGAGTAGATGTAGCAGGACAGACTTAGAACAAGAGGCTTTGTGAGGGTTCTAAAGTGCATGTGAACAAACTCAAATGTCATGCTCAGTACATAAATTGTGTTAATGGCCATCATCCAGTGTTGTATAGCTTATATTCCCTGAGATCTCTAAAATGACTCATCATGCTGGCAATACACCAAACAGTCCATTATTGTCTGACATCATTTTTCTGGATGCTTCTGAACTCCAAATGCAAATGCAATGCTGCCATCTAGAGGACTAAAGGAAGCGGTTAAGTTCCCTTGTTTTGATTGTGCTGCAGAAAGAGTCACAGAGGTATCTGATTGGCCGTTTTATTTTCTGTCTGTTTAGGTGATGGACAGCTCCATGCCTCTGATTGGTGAACACGTGGAGGAGGATAAACAGCTGATCACGGAGCTCATCATCAACAAGATGGCCCAGGTGCTGCTGGGAGTTTCCACACCTCAGCCTTCCAATGTCAAGGTACTGAAAACACACATCCTCCAGCTCAAATTCATGCAACTGCTTTTAGTGTTCCTACTGATGTAACGAAATGGAAAGTCTTCTAGAAATGATGTGTCATCGTTAACGTAATGTTGTAGCAGCTGTTACTGACATTATTGTTACTATAAAGATATCTTCTTGAATTGTGTTGTTTATAATTGTACTTCTGATCAAGATTAAGAAATAGAAAGCCTTTATTGTCGTTATACAACTTCACACAATCAACAAACAACTTCCATTCAAGTAAGATGTGCAATGTGTGTGTAGAAAATATCTACAGCAGATCATGTAGATTGAACAGTAAAAAGTAACTTGCCACAAGTAAAGAATATAAATAAATCTGAAAATGTAAATATTGCACATGTAAGAAATGGATGTAAAAATTAAAAAAATATATGATTAGTCAAAGAGAACAGTATATGCATGTTCAAGTAGAAGTGTATATCATACTCAAAAAACTAGTTGGGGTATTGTCAAGGGTGATTGTAGAGTCTGGTGGGGCTCAAGGCAAAATTAAATGGGGGGGCCCTCCAAACAGCGTTCATCACCATCATGTCTGCCCGTGTCCCGACGCTTACTCCTCTTCCTGTTTCTTTTTTCTTCTCTCCTATAGACGTGTAATTCCTCTTTATTGTTATTTGTTGACTTTCATCGACAAATTTTGGTTTTCACAGCAATCATGCATGCAACGCTCAGCAGGGCAACGCGAGTGGGTGCTGTTAGACGGGGCCCCCTTAGGGAGGTTTCCTACTGCCGTTGCAAAATTTGCAAATTTTGGGCAACTGCTTTGTTTAAGTTTGTAAGCCCTCAGGGGCCCCCTACTGGCCAGGGGCCCCCAAGCAGTTGCCTGCCTTGCCTGTTGATAAGCAGTGCCTCTGGGTATTTTATAGCTTTAATGGCCAAGTAGAAGTAGAAGTTAATCTTTAAACAAATATTATAACTACTTTTGCAAATGTTTCTGCTAATAATATCCAACTATAAGAATTACTTGTACAGCTTTCACCAACAGTCAAACATATCTGTGTTTGTGTTAGAATGACTCAATAATGACTTTCTCTCTCTTTATCCACAGACCACACAGCCCAGACGAGGTATGTTGTTTTTGTTTGTATTGTTTTTTCAAACAGAGAACTAACTGTCTGCGTGCAATGGCTAATCAACATGTCATTATGAATATCTCCTGCAGGGGGACACCGCTCTGCTTCAGCCTCTCCATCCCAGTCAGCCCAGGGTTCCCCTCAGCGAGCCCGGTCAGCCAGCACCTCACCCAGCCAGGCCTTCCAGCCGGGCCCCATCCCCGCCTCCTCCGGGCCTGGAGCTCAGAAACAGTCTCCACAGCTGAAGTAATTTGTGCTGGATTACCACAGATGGCACCCCATTTGAGTCCTTTATGATATAATTATTCAGCTAAATATTTCAAACAAATATGAAAGTTTTGAGTGTTTCATTTTCATTCTTGTCAGGGACGAGTCAACCATAACTCTGGAGAATGTGTCCTATAAAAGTTATATGCTGCGATCAATGGATCAATCTTTGCTTCTAACCTCTTAACTCTTCATGTTCTAAAGTAGACTTCTGTTCGTTTTACTGTACAGCAAATCCCAGTCCCTGACCAACACCTTCACGGAAACGTTACGAGGAAACGTGACCGACGACGAGGCCAAAGCCGAAACCATCCGCAGCCTCCGACAGTCCTTCGCCAGCCTCTTCTCCGACTAAACATCCCCTTGCCCTCACTCTTCCCAGAAGCTTCCTCTTTCTGTCAGGTCGGAAGAAACAAAAACAAACCCCGACTGGTTAATCTGTAATGGAGTCTCTCCCTCCTCAAGCCTCAGCTTCCTGTTCTCCTCTCCTCCTTCCTTCTCACTGTTTGTGAAGTTTAAAACTTGGTGCAACCCGCTGTCCTCACATCTGTCAGTTATTTATCACAAGAAAGGCCAATAGAATTTAGGGGTTCTTCAACGAAAGTTACAGAGGTTAAACCTGTAGATGTTCACAGGTATAACTGGTGATTTCATGCTAGTACTGTAGGATATAGAGCTGCAACGAGTAATCGATTAAAAAGAAAATCAGTGAAGAAGGGTTTTCGATAAACAATCAAAAAATGTGTACTGAAAAATGTCAGATTTACTTGTTTTAATTTCAATTGGAGCCAGAAAAGGCAATTTGCAGACTTGACTTCGGGCTCTAAAACTAAAGCCGTTTTCACATATGCACTCCTGAAAATATCTAGATAACTTCAGGAGGACTGCTCCAGATATAATAAGCTATAATGAGAATATTTGCCTTTATATCAGTCCTAGTCCAACGGAATGACAAAATAAACAAAAGAGCGTAGAACGTCATACTGATGAACAGAAAACTTAATGCAGCAGGTTAATTTGTAGTGGTCGTATGTGTACACTCAATGCACCGTGCAGCAGTCACAGAATATAAAAGTCACTCCCCCCTCCTATTGGCTCGAGGTAAATTCTCCGGAGAATATCCTGCTCTTACATCAGCTCACTCGGACTTGCTGCAGAAAAACATACTAGGGATCTGGCAGAAGAAACTCCGGGTGAGGTCCAAGCAACAAATTTGGCTGTTTGCGTTCACACATAAAAATAGAAATATCCTCAGTTTTTCAGGAGATTTCTGCTGGTGTGAAAGCTCTATAAGTAACAATTTTCTGTGATTCACAAACTGAAATTCTCACAAAATTTATCGGCAGGCTAATCAAGAACAAAAATCATTTTGTTGCAGCCCTAGAAGGACGTTTGTGACGATGCAAAACCAAACCAAATCTCATTCAAACGTTTGTTCATTTCATTTGTACGCCTCTTGATTGTGATGTCCCGTTTCTGCTGTTGTCAGGTTATGAATGGGGATAGAAACATGTTAAGCACTACGTGAGCCCCCTGTCTATACCATCCAGTATCCTTTGCGCTATTCTAAAACAGCCTGGTAGAAGTCCTTGTTGAGTTCTGTGTACGTTTTTTCAAGCCCCCTTTGATGCCGTATTGTGTCCTAAAAAACGTGTGAATGCTTCCTAGACTTTAGATCAGGGCTGATGGCAGCTTGGCCTTTCTCGTGTTAAATAGTGGCAGTGAGTAATCATAGTCATAGTCTAGCTCATAGTGCTCGATATATAGTCACTACTCTGCATTCTGATGGTTCAACCAGTGTTCATTATTGGGTAATGTCTGATTTATTTAGAAACAACTTTATTTATCTGATTAAAATTCTTTAGATTATTTAATCGGACGCATAGCTACCAAACTGTTTTCAGATGCCATCGGCAATATCGGATATGAAACTGTTCCGCCTTGCTCACGAGAAATGTTCAGACTCCCCCCTCTCTCGGTTCACCAGCGATTTTAAACATCTTGCCAGCAGCCACATTCCTCCCACATCCATGTGCTGTCGTCACTTATTGGCTTATGTAGTGACTCCTCTATATGACATTACCAAAGTGCTTTTTAATTAAACAACAAAAAAAAAAACATTGAAATAAAAAATCACCCTGCACTGGGTCAATAAAAAAAATAAATCACACAGCAATGCAACCTGAGCTTGTGATTTCAGAAGGTGCAAATGCTGTACTGGCTTACAGCCGTTGTCTTCCATCACAGGCCAGATCTTCCCCTTACTCTTCTTTTTCTGAATCTTTTTTGAGCTTTGTGAATGGCACCATGGTGTGTTTTCTGTAGGGGGTTTGTTTCATAACTACTACTGTAACGTGTTCAGAGGCAAACAGTGAGGATGTCATATTATGAGACTTAGTGTGCTTAACTTTCTACGGAGACTGGGAAAAAATGGCTTATAGCTTATATTATTCACCTTTATTCCATCAAACCACACCAATTCTAGCTGAGACTGTAGAAAATACAATATCATCCTTTTTGTTGTTTATGCGAAATCTGCAGAGGTAGTAAAGCAGACGTATTCAAATTTAATGCTGCCTTGGAACTGCATAATGTCTAAACTACTCTATAAACACAACTATAACCATTTTTACACTTTATTGAATGAGTGATCTAGTTTATCATTCATAGAAGCTTACCAAGCAAGGACAAGATATACAGTGCATGCAGAAAGAATCAACAGTGCTTCACTTTTTCTACATTTTGTTATTTTACAGCCTTATTCCAAAATGGATGAATTCATTTTTTCCCTCAAAATTTCTACACACAATACCCCATAATGACAAATTGAAATAGACATTTTTGCAACTGTACATAAGTATTCACAGCCTTTGCCATGACACTCAACATTTCCGGATGCACTGTATAGTGTCACTGTTAGAAAAAAGTGTTTTGACAGATGATAAGGCACCACATGGATCCACAAAGTAAAAAGTTAATTTACTGCAAGATTTTGTCGTATCAAGCTCACAGGAAAGGATTGACTTTATATTTTTCTTTTCATGCTGCGCACAATCACAATCAAATATCTGTATTTTAGTAAAATTTAGGCATTGTCTTGTTCTTGGTTAACCTGTGCTGCAAGCTCAGCGAGTCCAGATATCTTTGTTTTCATTAAGATCGATCTTTAAAGTTTATGTTCCCTCCTTTGTTGTCATGTCATTTAAATACCTGCTAGCAGTATGCATAATTTTAAACAGCCCTACTGCAATTCCCAAACTTCTAATTCTCTTTGAATATATTAATAATGATAATTAAAATACTAATATGATAGTAATAATAGCAATTATGAGGCCCGATTTTAAGATGAGATTCATTCAATTGCATGAAGCTGTGTAGTGGTGTGTGTGGAGTTGTGTATGTGTGTTAAGTTGTGAATTTGAAGACTCAACCATTGGAAAGATCTGCCCATTGTGCAATAATTAGGTTGATAATAAGTTTTATGGAATTTGGATTCTAGCTGTGAAAGGTCTATTTTTTGGTCCTTTGCCTTCCAGTCTTGCTGACAGAAACACCAAATGAATAAAAAAAGAAATAGATGTTTGGAAACTGGCACTAAAACGATAAATTACCTTTAAAATATCCACACTCCAGTTCTCATTAACAACAATGATACTAGCAAGGACTGCAGTTATACTTCCACAAACGGATGCTTTAGATAGAAAATAATATTGGATGGTTACATTATTCATTAGTGGTTAGAACCGCTGTAGCACACTTCTAAGCCTACAAAATTGTCCGTTAGCTAAGCCCCACCTTCTGTTGCTACAAAGAAGTTTACAAAAATGATGTTCATAGTTGGTGTTTGAGATGACACTGTATTCTGTCTTGATTTCATTAACGCAGGAACAAAGCTTATTTTAATTTTAATGAAGTTTATCTTCTGAAATAACAACTATTGCTTACAGACTGAATCAGTTGTAGCTATCCAGCTAATCAAGGTAACATTAGCTCCTTGATTTGGTTGAAAACAGCAGCAACCTGACTTCTTAGTGTCCAAATGACTCTGGTTTTAAACAGGAACAGAGCCTCAAATATTCACTGGATGACAGCATATCTTAAATTGTGCAAAAATGTTTTAAGCTAAAGCCACAAAGTGTCAAGCAAAATGTTAGCATTATAGCTAGTTGTGGATCCCAGTGGAAGACAAAAATATAATGTAGCCTATCGTAGGAAGGACATTTCTGTTTTTTTCATTATTACACTTAATACAATATCCGGCTTAGAAGGCTATTGTTTTGTTTGTTTGTATTAAAAGTAAGCTATGTTGCTGTATGTCATCCAAGACTACATTTTAAGGCGTTGTTGAGAGAATGTGTCATGTTGAAAATGACTTTAGGTAGATGTGTAACCAATGGGTTTCCCATCTGAAATGCTTTATTTGCTAACATGGCTTGGGTTACTTGACACTAAACCTTATGAAATCTTATTTAGAGTTGAATAAAGTGGCTAACCTTAGCCAAAACGTTGTAGCCTAACGAGCTATAGACAGTGAATGTGTTTGCTCACAATAAATGTATTATTTTAGTTTTATTTGTTTATTTTTTGCATTACCTTCATCGAACAATTAATGTTGTCTGTGACCATCTTCACCCCGCTTTATCCCTGGAAGTAGCCTACCAGAGGTTTAGGTAACCAGTTTATATGCTAGTTATTCGTACATGCTAATGTTAGCAGCTTGCATCAGAGCAGATGAAACATTATTTTATCTCATTCATTTGTAGTGATTGGTCATGTACTTGAAATGGCTAATGAGAAAGACGAAACGTTCTTAACTCAGTATGAGGAGTATAAATCTGACAGCCCAGTGAAGAAGGCTTTTGGACTTATACATCCCAAGCTTAGCAGTAATGCTAGCTACTGTTGATGAACTATGATTGAAAAAATGCTGTTCAAGGAATGTGTTCAGAAAATGGACAAAGGACTTGCTCACCTTCCAAGTTCATATTCACTTTACTAGCTTTGTTTATTGACCTTTAAATTTGGCAACACTGTGATTATTTGCTTGCAGTTCCAACAAACTAATCAGTATAATTATTATTTTTCACAAGGTTGTTTGTTAAATCAAAATTCTCATCATCAGTCAGCTGAGATAATGCTGTAATTTGTCATTTCACCACCTTTGTCACTGTGTCAAAATGGACCAAATTAGTGTTTCATTGTGAGAGCCCTTGATGGAAAAAAAATCATATTGTTTCATCGTTATTGTATATAATCTTGACACATAGTATTATATAATACTGCAGTATGATAAGCCATAACCAAACCATGAGGATTTTCTATCCCTTATGTGCCACGCAATAATGGCTGTGACGTCAAACGACATATTAACGTAGATCACTGTGTCCTCTAACGACTTAAGGAGGCCTGTCCTGCCCTGTAGACGCACACAGCAGTTACTGTTTTCCACTTTGAGTTCAAATACAGAGAAAATCATATCATACAGTTTATGAAACTTCTCCTTTTTTTTTTTTTATCACATTTGGGTTTAAAATGCAGTATAGGATTCAGTTGCCATGTATGCAATCTAATGGGTC